GCTAAAATGTCTGTGGTTTCCCCAAAGTGCTTAGTGCTGTTCTGCTACTAAAAGAAAATGTGATAACTGTAAGCAAAGAAATGACATTTTGAGAAAGTGCTGAAGCAGAAACGCAGAAGAAGGGATACTGGACAATGTTGTGCATTACACATGCAACAATCATGTTATCAAATTATGACACAGTAACGAGTGACGTTTTAACTTATATCACAGATTTCCTTCACAAATTATACCATGAATATTAATTTTAATGTTTTACGAAATACGAAAATCAAAAATGACGTAACCATTATAAATCTGTAAGCAACGTGTACAATGAGAACCTGAATCAAGCACAGGAAACCAGTCCAGTACTCAGCCTTGGCTGTTTATTCTCAGATGTATAAAACTTAAAACATCACATCACAGCGCTGTGGTCCATTCACTCATAACCTCCATCTGACTACAAAGATGGCTGGCTGGCTGGCTGGATGGATGGATGGATGGATGGATGGATGGATGGATGGATGGATGGATGGATGGATGGATGGATGGATAGAATTTGCATCAATATTACATAGAGAAGTCAGAAACCCAATGAAATGTTGATGTTGGACACTGTTGCAATACTGAACCAAATTAGCAGTTGTACTCTGAACGTACAGATATAAGTCTCCATCTCCATTTTCTGCTGCTTATCCATAGTCAGGTCACAGAGGCAAAAGGTCCAGGTGAGAAACCCAGACACCCCTATCCCCCAGCAACATTTTCCAGCTCGCTCTGAGGGACCCCAAAGAATCCCTAGGCCAGAGAGGATACATACAGTAATTCCTCCGGTGAGTCCTGGATCTTAACCTGGGCCTCCTTCAAGTGGAACATGCCCGGAATATATCATTTGACAGGGGGCACCCAGGAGACATCCTAATCAGATGCCTGAACCACTTCAACTGACTCCATTTGATGAAGAGGAGCATCTAAAGCTGAGCCCGACCACCCGACCGAGGAAGCTCATTTTGGATGCTTGTATTTTTCTTCCGGTTAAAAGTGTTTTTTCCTCTCCACTGTTGCCAATGTGCTGTTCAGGATGGGAGACTCAGCTCTTTCTTCACCACAACTAACCAATGCAACGCTCTCATTACTGAGTGTGAGGCCCCAGTCTGTCGTTCCATACCCCGCTCTATCCTACCATCACTCATGAACAAGACACCCAGATACTTAAACTTCTTTACTTGAGGCAAAGACTCTCCACACTTTTTCTGTCGAGAACCATGGTCTCAAACGTCTGGAATTGACTCTCATCCCAGCTGCTTCACACTCAGCTGTGATTGTGAACCACCCCAGTGCACGCTGAAGGTCTTGGCCTGAAAACGCCAACAGAACCACATCATCTGCATACAGCAGAAACGAGACCCTGTATGGAGCTATTTGGGTCTCAATATCCTCACACGTGCACAGAACAATTTGTGCATGGGCAGAAACAATCCATCCGTGCACAGAACCCTGTGGTTCCCAAACCAGACACCCTCCTCCTCACGACTGCGCCTTGAGATCTTGTCCTTTCATACAGATATGAATTAATAAAAATTTTAAAAAACATTTAAAAATCAAGGAGGTTGTTACTTTCTCTGCAACTGATGAGCTGATAATCTAAAACATATTGATATTTAAAGATCAAACATTCCTCACTCGCTATGTTTCATGTTAGAGTTTTACACTCAAATGATGAAACTGTTGTAATTTTGGTCAAACCATCAAAATAAGGTTAGGCATACGTAAATGATTCATGGATTTAATGCTAATGTTAAAACGTTAACGTTTAACATTTCCTGTTGTGGTTATTTTGAAATGAATTGACACCGAAAGTTAATCAGCTGCAGAAGTAAGAGTTAAATGCAAAGATTTGTGAGATACCCTCCTATAGAGACAGATAGAATTGACTTAGTTTCTGGAAAATTTTAGACAAAAGTCTTGTCCTGATGCATCTCAGTAATCCAGGTAAAAAATCAAAAAGAAAAAAATTGTATAGGTCTTCTGGACGGGTT